ATTTTGCATCGAAAGCTGTTATGAGATCAAAACTCAGGTCGCGCGCGGCGCCATAGTTGTCCACAGCTGCCATCAAAGGTGTCCGTTACTATTGCAAAATAAGAAAAGAAACGTGGACACAGTGGGGCTCAAACCCGGGTCCGCTGCTTGCCAGCTTAGCGTTCTACCACTGAGCCACGCTAGTGCTTGGGCATTGTATGCAAACTGGCCTTAGGCCGGTTTGATGTCGGAAAAGGAACTGCCTTACTATGAGTAATAGAGAGTTTTAGAACAGCAAAAAAAAAAAAAACCGAGGCGTCACACAATGCGAATGGCGTAACGAGTGCATGGGTCGTCCAATGCTACAACCCATTAGAACAGCTTGTTCTTGTTCCCCTATTAACTGTGACACATACCCACTACACACATAATTCCTCATCTTCGTCAGCCACTGCGTGAACAATTCGCACAAAATTTCTTGCAAGTGTTTAACGAATACAACGCTTCTCAGAAGTTTGATGAGAAATAGCATAGCGAATGCTGGTCTAGCCGGAAATTAATATTATTATTATTATTAATGCCATAATGGGTACCCAGCCAGTTTGCTTGTGCAGCAATAACGCGATGAGTGTTTAGAAATGGCTCTGAAAGGCTGCTCTTGTAGCTTTCACTGTGACTGTGCTGCGCCTTCCGCGCAGGCCTGGCGTTTTTTTTTTTTTTTTTTTTGTAAAAGAGATGACAAAATTTCTTCCAGGACGTACTTACTGCGTTTTCCTGCCATTACGTAACGACAGGGCACATGCAGACGAGTTTCGTAAGTAACATAATTCTCTGAGTGATTGACATCGACGTTAATGGCAAAACTTTTTGAGCACTAACGCGTGTACTGGGGCTCCTTCCACAGCTATGGCATAAGAAAATAAAAAAAAACTATGAGTTCTGCGTATATACAACGAATTGGGTCGATGGAACACTACTTGTGAAGCATTCGATTATGAGACAACGTTCTAGATCTATATTACATTCCGAGCTTAAATGTTCTTAGCACGGCACAGTTGTTCATCACGTGGAACTTTGCCCCGTCGCGGTAGTCTAGTGACTATGGCGGTCAATTACTAACCCACAGGTGAACAAATCCAAACCCGGCTGCGGCAGGTGCACTTGCGGAGGAAGCGGAAATGTTGATTGATTGATATGTGGGGTTTAACGTCCCAAAACCACCATGTGATTATGATAGACGCTGTAGTGGAGGGCTCCAGAGATTTCGGCCACCTGGGGTTCCTTAACGTGCACGCAAATATGAGCACACGGGCCTACAGCATTTTCGCCTCCATCGAAAATGCAGCCGCCGCAGCCGGGTTTGATCCCGCGACCTGCGGGTCAGCAGCCGAGTACCTTAGCCACTAGACCACCGCGGCGGGGCGAGGTGACGATGTTTGAGGCCTGTGTGCCTAGATTTAGGTGCACGTTAAAGAACACCAGGAAGTCAAAATTTCCAGAGCCCTCCATTACGGCGTCTCTAATAACCACATAGTAGATATGGGACGTTAGACCTCAATTATTATCACGATTACTCTAATAACGAAATTATTATTATTATTATATTATTATTATTATTATTATTATTATTATTATTATTATTATTATTATTATTATTATTATTATTATTATTATTATTATTATTATTATTATTATTATTATTATTATTATTATTATTCAGGCGAAGAACTTTATACTTCTCCGGTTGTTGCAAGGCCCGAAATACAGTAATCAGCCTGTGAGGACACCATTCAATTGAATGGCTTCGTACTCTATGCCCTTAGCTCATAGTGTAAATTGCGCCAGTAGGGACACGATGAAAGAAAGAGACAAAAAAGGAAGAAGAACAGTGGCGTCTGTCGTAACATGATTAGATGGTTACGAAAAACTTTCACTGCACGTAAGCAGCATGGGAAAAGCAATTAGCTTTCCCCGAAATAACGTGCGATTAAGAGCTCAACTCTGCAGCTGTCAGCGTCAAGGTCTCGCACTAAACGAGGCACTGCATAATTTTCTTCTTTTGTGTTAGGTTCACACTACTTCCACAACAACCAGGAAAAAAAGTGAATATAAGTAGCAAATAGCGCCACCGTCGCCACAGTCCTCACTATTAAAAGGGGACAAAATAGAAACAAGCAAGAGCGTGTGGAGATAAGGAACCGGAATAAGCGGAGTCGGACAGCTTATTCCAAGAAAAACGCAGACGCGGCATTCTCCGCCACTAAGGTGGCTTCATTCCTATAGCCAGGCGAAAACTTGGCGGTTTCGTTCGAAGAAGAAACAAGCAGGCAAAGCTGACGCCTTGCCAGGACCACTCGCGACGTTCAGCAATAAGGGAACGTCGTAAAAGTGTATATACGTAGGGGTGACATTAAAATGTTACAAGAAGTGTTGTTTCTAGAGATACCTGTACATTTCGGTTACCTCGATTGCCATCATTGCCTCTTGAGGAAATGTTCACTTGCTTAGTCGGTTATGCCGCGTCCTGTCAAAATTGCAATACGCCGACTGCAAGACTGCGACAAGTAGTACTTAGCACTTTGGTCTTCTGCTGCTCCTGGCACTACTTATTATAAAGGAATTAATAATAATAATAATACTATTAGTAGTAGTAGTATTAGTAGCAATAGTAGCAGTAGTAGTAGCATTCTTACATAGCCTAACCTTCTTCTTATGTACTGACACGCTGAGACGGAAGTTCTCAGCGGATCTTTCAGTAGCACAGTTTCGTGCACCTTTGGTTTGTTAGCATCATCAGTGTCTTACCAAAAATCAAGGCGTTCATTCAAAATTGTGGAGGAGGTTTGAGTGAGGACCTTTAGATTTTCGTGAAGCACATAATTAAAACGCCAGCATGGAGTACAATACCAACCAGACTCTCTTGATATGACAGCTGTATACGAAGATCAGATTGCGCTTTTAGCGAGCTGTACAGCGTTGCCAAGCCAACGGGCTACTCGTAAAACTGTGGACCTTGAAATGTTGACTTATAAAATATTAGGTCTTACGGCATGCATGCTTTGCAAGGTGATATATGCTTTTCAGTGCAACGAACAAGTGATTCCCAATGTTCAAACTCTTTACAACGCCAAATTATAAGAGCACCTCATTCAGCTGCAGACAACATTGCAGAGACAGGCAAGGACTTTTTTCTGCGATTTATTTAGTGAACGTACATACGCCGTCTCTCTGTCAGCTTAGTCATTGTAACAATACTTTAATTACTATGGCTTCCCTTCTCTCGGCTCGCCTTTAGCACTTTCGCAAACCACACCCTCAAACAAAGCGCAATTCACGAAAAAGAGGAATTCTTAGTCACCTGTTTGCTGCATAAAGCTGTCAAGAAAATTACTCAGGAGTGAATTATTAAAAAAAAAAAAACATTACCTCTTTCGTGAAGCTCCAATTTACAGAACAAGTTCCTCAACTGAAACCTATATGAATGCATTCATTCAAACGGGAAGAAAATTATTCCATGAAAGGGAATTTGCTGGCCGAGGTGGAATGCTTTAATATTATAATTCCACCTCATATCACCATGTTTTGCCAGTTTTTCATTCCTGCTGAAATGCAAATTGAAGGGCGTGTTGCAAGCACCTCACTTCCCTCGTACTGGAGACGAAGAGGGCACAGACAAACGAGAAGCGAAGAGCTGAAGCTCATATTTATAAGCAAATACACGGCTGAAGCCATACGCGGACCACTGGTGCGTGAAAAAATCAAACTGAACCCACCGATCCTCGGCGCCTGTTCCACGGGAACTTGCCACAAGATGCCTGCACCCATTGTGCGCCGCTGGACAGTGGAACAGAGTAGAGGCAGTCCAGACAACGCTGGTTAGGAGGTTGCAGCGTGCATGGCCAGTTTAGTCCCTTTTTAGATCCCACGCAGCTCCCCAACGGCTCTTCGGCGTCACCCTTGCTTCTCACGTCCTGCTCGCAGCATTCGAGGGGCAACAAGCTCGGAGGAAGCTTGCAATGGCAGCACACGTCATCATCATCCTGCCTCGCGGAACGACCAGAGCGAGTCGGCTTTTGGTGAGACGGATCGGGAAAGCCGCTGTTCTTTGGCGGCGAGTGCTTAGGGACTGGAAGAATCAGCTTGGGCCTGGCTCCTCGGAGGGCATCGACAGAGCTGTCGTCGCTTTCAACTTCGAGAGCGTCGAACGAGGAAGCCCTTCTAGTACCCTGGAGCCCGGAGTTCAAGACGTCATCGCCTCTGCGGGACTCCGCGTCCGAACTGAAGTCGCTACTACGGCGATGCTGTCCGTACTTCCAGAAGTCCGATATTTGCAGACACTCTTCTCGGTCCTTGTAGGTTCCTCCTCTTATTTGATCGTGCCACTTGAAGCCGCCCGACCAGATGTTGCACGGTGGTGGAGGATCACCAAGAGCGTTCAACTTGCAGCCGGGAGAAGACGACGCCGAAGCGGAGGACGGCAGGGACTTTGGAAAGTGACAGTCACCGCGGGTGTGCTTGCGAGTGCCACACGAAGACGAAATAACCACGCTGGCGTCCGAGAATGGCGACGAGGACAAGGACGCCGAGAGGCCCGGAGAGTGGCCCTCGAGACTGGAGGAACCCGGAGGCGTGGTGGAGCCTGACCACCGAGGGGACGTGGGCGTCGACCACGGAGAGAGACGCGTCGAGTCGAACGAACTGGCCGGCGAAGAGGGCGAATCGTCTCGACCTCCACGACGAGCCACACTAACTCCGGCGTGGCGCGGAATCGGCTCCCGGATAGTCAGAAACGAACGAAGCTCTTCGTCCTCTTCGTCCGAGCTCAGCTGATGAGGAGACGACGGCGCTAACCTTTGCGACGGTATCTGGGAGGTAGGTGCAGCGACTCGGATGGCTGGGCCCGAGAAACGGTTCGCGCCTGTTGCGTTGCATTGTGACGATGACAACCTCGGTCGTCGCCAAAAGGACTTGGTGTCGCCAGTCGAACTGCTGGCAGCGCGTGACATGATGCGCCTTTGCTATGTTTTTCCACTATTTTTTTCTTTTTGCCCGATGGACACCTTGTGAAATGCAAGCACGTGTCGTGGCCTCACAGATTATACCTCGGGAGTGCTCTGGACACTATACATAAGCCAATACAGGCACACTGAATGCTACTGCATTTAGTGACGGACGATCAGTAGAACCACACAAATGCAGTGTCGGCAACACGTAGCACGTCTGTTTCGTCAAGTCACACACTCGATCACTGCTTAACCCCGTACATCGATGCCGACGCACACTGATAAACTGACACGAAAAGCTAATGGTCACACACGTAGATTGATGTCACAACACAGAAGAATGAAAAGTAGCACCACGCCGGTGAACGTGCGGCACTCGAAAACAAGTGCACGTGAGAAATAAAGGACACCACGCTTAGTACACAGTCCCACAAACAGCCGTCACGATGGCGTTAAACACAAGGGACGCTCAGATATGCAACCAACACCGGCTCAGCTGCAGAAAGATGACCGATTTCCACCGGACAATAGATGACGTGACGAGCCCGACGACGGTACCGATATCCTCCGAACAGAATCAGATGGTTCGCCGCATCTGCTCACTCCCGTCGATAGCACTGCAATTAGGCGCAGCCTGCACTGTCGCACGTAAAGAATGTGAAAGCCAGGTAACTATATATTTCATTCCACTTCACTGGAGTGTCCGCTCGGACGATCAGCAACGAACGATGAGGAGCAGCACATGTGCTTCCGCTCAAGTTCAGAAAACTCGGAACAAAACCGGGATCGACCGAATCATACAGTGATTCGAAACGCGCCAAAACTCAACTAAGTCAAAGGTACGCATAAAGCAATACCGACACAACAGCTCCGTTTCTCGTGGCTCCAGGTGTGCGGCACGATCCGTCAAAAAAGCGAGGCGGCACTAGTTGAGGCACGTTGTTCCAGTTGCACTCGGGATGCACTTTCCACAGCACCGCACAGCATGCGCAATGAACTCTCGCACGGAGAACTCCAGGGAGGCGAGAACACCGGCTGTAGTCACAACTATCCCACTAGTAGAGGTAAAACGAAGACCTGCAGATGTACGAGCGACGTCCACGAAGCGTCTCGCCAGTAACGGCGTCGTAGTTACCTGACAGGGGCACTGAAGACGAGGAAACAGCTTGGCTCACAGGTGGACCGCGATTCGGCGGCAGTTCTCGTGCAGTAACGGCGACGTCCTCATCTGATCGGACGCAACTGCCACGCGCGGGCCAACAAACCGATATGACCGTGGACGGTGTGGGGAAGGAAGCCACCACAACGACGGGACGGGCGGAGGGGGGACCCGCGCTTCCAAAGGAGGGCGAGGCTGTTGCACGAAGTGAGAGAAAGGGAAAGAACAGATGCGCTTACACGCCTTTATGCTGCTGCCGCGGCTGCTACGAAATCAGCAAGAACGGAAGATGAAGATCGGCAGTGCGGTGAAGGAAGATGCGGGGGTTAAAAGAAAAAAACGAAAAATGTACAGGAGTAATGCCCAATACTACCGGACAGTAGAGGTGAATCGAAGAGCCTTAAACAGAGGTACAAAAGTTTAAAGTAAAAGAGATGGTGGTGGCGGTGGCGGTGGTGGGGTCCGTGTGGCACCCTGCTGTGTGGACGGGCCGCGCCTCACCAGTCGTGCAAACAGTAGCAAGAATAAAAAGGCTGGAAGCGCTCGGAGAGGCTGGATTCCGGATCGGCAAGGTGGTTGTGTGCGTGAGAGAGAGAGGACAGAGAGGCGAGGTGCGTGTTCGCGTGCTAGCGTGCGCGCCGGTGCCGGCGGGATGAGGTTCTTGCTCGTGTTTATATTCGGAGCGCCGGCCTACGGAACACGGCTTCGCGCGATGCTCTAGAGATGGAGCCAGCCGCCCAGAGACTCCGCGCTGCTTGGCGCCAGATCTCGACTGGCGCGGGATCGTGGTGTGTTGAAACGCTAAACGAATTCAGACAGCTCTAAGACAACTTCCCTCTTTCTCTCTCCTCTCAATATCCTCTTCCACTTCACCATAATGTTCAATTCCCGGATAATTTATTTGTTATACAAAACTAGGCGTGCGCAGAATTTTACGTTGGAGGGAAAGGGAGAATCGTTTACTGCAGAGCCCGTCCCTCGCCCATCTCTCCTACCCCACCCCTTCCTCAGGGGTCGAGTTTAAAATGAAGGGGACTATCGCAATGTATGCAAAACTGATGAAGAATTGATGACGTGCTCCATTGACACGTAAAGCTATGGCTCAAAATTGCCCTTCCCCCCACCCCCGGTACAGAGCACTATGGTGAATCAATGAATCCATTTATACAGATAAATTGCACACTGAGTACAATTATGAAGTTAATTTGACCGTCATAAGTTTACTAAGAAACGAAAAATCAACGTGCAACTTTAATTTTCAAATTTCGCGCCGAAAACTCGGCACCTGTTGTCATGAATTTCGAAATGCATTTTTCGCATTTAAGCGCAGATGGCTCACACAATTCCATGAAGACTGAT